ATTTATTTATTTTGGTCGCCCAATAAATAATTTGTTCTTTTTGTTTGTATTACGAATAAACATGCTTTATATAATTTAACACGTTCATGGACAGAACTGCAAATGCCGTCGGGCCCAATATGACACGACGGCTATAGCAGTCGCAATTTTGTAGCTGATTTATGACAAGCCTGCATATGCAGGCGCATTAATAATGAGATCCATAGGAAGCTCTGACATATGTGTCCCATGAGACCTCATGTATTTTTGGTTGCAGAATGTAGTTGGTTGCAAATTAATTTTTATATGAGTATCTGTTCAGCGCGATTCTTATCCTAAAATTCGGCCGTTTTTGTGACCGATTGTTGTTAGGTGGAGTAAAAATTTGATTGTTGTGAGGTGGAGTAAAATTTTGATGTAACAAAGCTAGTAATTATAAGTTTTTGAACAATTATATTATTTTTTATTACTATATAACTTCTATAACTATATTTTTATCGTTAAAATGTTTTTTCTCGTCCCAAAAACGCAATTTATTTTTATAAAATAAATTTAATATTATTTATAGGTATATAACTTATAAATTATAAGTATTTATAGATATTTATAGGTATATAACGTACCGTTGAGATTAAAAATTAATATTTAAATTTGAATCTAGACTTTTTGTCATTATTAAAGTATAATTTGTTCACTAGTGACTTTATACTACCATAATGGATAAGAAGAAATGAAAAAAACATGGACGGTTATGACCGTCATGACCCACCACACCTTTTTTTTGTAAAAAAATCTCATAGTGGGGCATGACGGCTATAGCCGTCAAACTTTTTTAAAGGCAATATACAGCCCTAAAGGCATCATCAAGTTACCGATAAAATTTTTTGATGATATGATAAAAGGTGTATGAATTATTCAAGTGACGCAGCAGGTCCCGCCAAAAATTTGTCTGTGTCCATCAACGTGTTAAGTTTTTTTATTAAAAAATTAAAAATAAATAATAATAAATAAATAATTTGTTCTTTTTGTTTGTATTACGAATAAACATGCTTTATATAATTTAAGTTTTTTTTATTAAAAAATTAAATGTCATACCTATGATTTCTTGTCGAAATAATTTAATTGACATGACTGACGTAAAAAACCTTACTTACAATAGCCAATTTTTAAGAAAAACATGCAACTTGATAAAGAATCGATTACTTTTTATCGGCCGCAATAGTACATGCTGTGGGATCATTCTGGCAAAAGGACGAATGTATATAATGGATTATATATTATATATATATATATATATATATATATATATATATATATATATATATATATATATATATATATATATATATATATTATATTCATTTTTCTTTTCTAGGTCATGCAGAAATACTTTTTGTTGTTTTTCTCAAAACAGGAAAATAGCTTATTCGCCCTTTTGCAAAAATATTATTCCATACATACCAAATTCGTTAATAAGACATAAGACTATAGCATAATATTATAACCTTATTGCAAACAAAAGATTCTAAATCGCAAATGAAACGATTCTAAGAATGATTGGCAGTTATTTATGGTTTGTTGCGATAAAATAATCAAACATACCTACCAACCCTTTGAAAATGTCAGCTTTATTATTTCTATTGAGAATACCTAATAATAATGCTTTGTTAACTGATCAATAAATAAATCTTTAGAATTATTTGGATATTCTCTATAATATTACACCGGTTGTTTATAGATTTATATATACAGGGTGTCCCTCAATATTTTAAAAGTAAAATAGATCCTGAATTTTCTTTGCGCAATTAAATGGAACATTTTTATTTTCAAAACTTGAGTAACCGATTTGAAATTAAACTGCAACTGTTCAGTCCTTAAGGATTCGAATGTTCTGCGAGAAACGGACACGTCTAGACGTAAACCCAGTCAATATCCAATTTCTTCGTGCAGTTAGCAGCCGCTTTGTTCTAAGCACCTGATCTTATTTGTCCTGTCGAACTTGACGTGTGTTTCTTGAGTCGTCCTTTGTTTTATCTTGAGCTTGAAGGCACCCTGATGACTTTATTATTACGAATTTGTCCCCAATTTACTGGATTATTTAATAACCATTTCTAAAACAGTTCTCCCAGTGTATAATAAAAAATAAGAAACTTGTAAGTTGCAAGTGGAATTTTTGCACTACCCTTTCATATCATAATTTTACATAAAGTCTATAGACAATTTTATGTTTATCAAAAGTTACCTTTTGATCTAATGTAATTTTTGCACTAACCATTGCAATTTTTAATATTTAAAATATCCCAAGTGTAGGTATTTGAAATTCAAATTAATCTCTTCAAAATCAAGTTATTATATCTTTTATTAAACTAACCACAGCATGCTGTGCTGTAACTCTAAAGGCCCGTTTAGACGTTAATGCAATTTGCGCCAATTGGCTTGTGCAAGTCACTTTGCACAAGTTAATCTGTAAACAGAAGCATGACTTAAGTAAAATCTATTTTGTCAGATAATTTACATGAGGTTGGTGCAGTTGCATGAGCGTGTAAACAATGGTATAAGCAGTTTGCGCAAGTTTGCCGATAACACATATGGGGCAAAATTTACCAAGTGTACCAGGTGAAAAAATTTTTCTCACCGATTTTGTTTAAACTTTACTTATTTGTTGTTCTTATAACGAAGAATCATGGCATAATTTTTTTTTGCTCTAGGATTGTTCATTCAAGAGTTATTGATTATTGAAATTTATCGATTTTTTACTTTTTGGTGAAATCGCTTTTTATTTAAAAATTCATAACTTCTGTTCATCTCTTTATTAAATATTTCAATTTAACCTCCTTAAATGATTTTTTCCGTACTTTTCAATGGGCTATACCGTTTTTGCAAAAAAATAAAAATTGCAATTTTTTTTTGAAATTTTGCAAAATTTTGCATTTTTTAAAACAATGTGTATTTTTTAATTTTTTTGAAAATAGCATAAAATCCAAGTTTATTATGTTACCTTTAAATAAAAAAAAATTTAGAGTGGGCCCGACATGTAGAAGGGAAGTTTTTCATATTTGAATGCCGCACGGTCTAGCCATCGAATAGCTACTACACTGCCGTATGCGTTTATACCTAGTGGATGCGAGTAAACGAATACAAAATGATAATTTAAAATGTAAAATTATGTTTGAGTAGTCAATGATGTATTTTAAATATTTACACTGCCGCACGTAATAAACTTGGATTTTATGCTATTTTAAAAAAAGTTAAAAAATACACATTGTTTCAAAAAATGCAAAATTTTGCAAAATTTCAAAAAAAAATTGCAAATTTTATTTTTTTGCAAAAACGGTATAGCAAATTGAAAAGTACGGAAAAAATCATTTAAGGTGGTTAAATTGAAATATTTAATAAAGAGATGAACAGAAGTTATGAATTTTTAAATAAAAATCGATTTCACCAAAAAGTAATAAATCGATAAATTTCAATAATCCATAACTCTTGAATGAACAATCCTAGAGCAAAAAAATTTTATGCTATGATTCTTCGTTATAAGAACGGTGACAAAAATTTTTTCACCTGGTACACTTGGCAAATTTTGCCCCATATGCGTTTTTAAAGTTATATTACATTATATTTATTTGCAAAGGCTATTGTATAGTTATTATATTGAAGTAAGAAAACAAATTTCTTTTCATCGACCAAGGTTTAGCCCATTTTCTTGTTTATCTTTAATTTGTCCTAACACGAACTTTTAACCGAAAAGTAATTCCTCATTAATATATTTCAAACAGTGCAATGTAAAATGAACGTCAATTGCAGAAAATCGCTAAACGGGAATACAACGAATCATTCATTTGTGCAAATTTGCTTGCAGAAATCAGATTAAGCAAATTGCTTGAGCGGCTAAATGCACCTTAACGAAAAAGTTGCGACCGCCGCGGCGTTTAAACGCAAACCCGATCCAGGAGAACGAATTTTACAGAAACGGCTAAAAACCGATCAAAGCGTTATTATTTAATGTGTTGTTATGTTGTTGCAATTTTATGTTAAAGTAGATACTACAGAATAATGTGTATAAAAAATATGGCAAAATTATGTATTCTATTATTAAATAATAATAAAATTTAATTTTGATAACGGCCTGGTTGACAAATGTTGGTAAATTATAAAATTAGACATGACCATGTGGAATGCACCACTGGCCCTGATTAAGTAGCAGCAAAATCTGAAAGGAATTCTCCTGAAAGCAGTAGCTTTCAGCATTTCAAACAAATATTGCAGATCTGTACTCAAAATACTGCTATCTACGTGAAAAAAATTTCCTCGATGTTACAGAATTTAGTGACAGGAAATAAACCATTGCAGAAGACGATACAACTTGGCTTCTAGAATACGTATTACTTCTGCGTTTGTTACCCGGTTACTATGAGTGATACCTTTTGCATTAAAGAATTTTAATATTTAATCGTTGAAGTTGACTGCACATCCAGATAAAATAGCCAAATGTTTCCAATCGGGTTTTTGTCTTTGACAATGTTGGCGTAAAACTTGAATTTCCTTTTTTAGTTTGTTTTATGGTCCTTTCTTTTCTCCCGTCAGGGAGTATAGGCTTTTCATATATTTTTGCGCCTTGTAGTTTTTTATGTTTTTTTTTATTTTGATCGATAACTCTTGCATTCGTTTCGCTAGTAAGACCAAGGTCTACTAGTAGGGCAGAAGAAATAGATAAAGCTGTTTTGTCTGATATTTTAAGCAAATATGGAAAGTCTCATTTGATCTTTTAAATCTGTTTTAGAAGCACGAAAACAGGAAGGCTATTATATAAACTGCAGGAGCGGTTCAATGAATTTCATTTTTCTTTTTTATCTTCTTTTTCTTTTTCGCGCGGTCAGTTAGCTTTAAAGGAATAAGTGAAGTAAAAGAGGTCGACAGGAAAAGAGAAAGACGGAGTCTCTTTTCCTGCTGACCACTTTTACTTCACTTATTTAAAGCTAACTGACCGCGCTTCTGTTCCGTTCTTGTTTTCTTGTGGCGTTTTATCTATCTTTCTTGTCTTTTTCAGCTAACTTGAAGTTTTCTGGTAGATTGTTCCTATCATCTTTTATGTACTTAGCTGATTGATTAAAAATAGTTTTTTTTATAACTGGGACCTTTCTTTCTTTGGAACAGCAACGTGAGTTTTCACATTTGCAGCAGGCAATGTCAAAGAGAGTTTGCTCCCACTTGCACTTTGAATCCTCCATTTTCTTTTTGTAACACGCAGCTTCTTCTCTATCCTTGTATGGTTTCAAGCCTTTTCTATAATCATTATTAACTTAGTTGAAATTATTGAAGCATATGGATGCCATAATGCCTTTTATCTCATTTCCGATAAGAGAAAGTATTAAAGTACCTATGTCCGAATTTGTTGGAGTATGTGCTACATTTCGGAGGGATTGCCCTGCAAAGGACAACTAGAATATTTTCTAGTTGGGATTTTTCTTAAACTTATTCTTATTGTTTTTATTTATCTCGTTTTTTATGTGCTAGAAATACTATAATAGATAAACAACACCATTAAGTGGAAGTTTATTTATTTAGAAAGATAGCAAAATATAATAATATTATACTGTAATGGCCGTATGCAAAAAACTGTTAATCAATGATTAGTTAGTCATTCACTAAAATTCTAGTCTAGAAGGTACAGGTAGGTGGATTTTACAAATATTACTTCAAATATAAATTAAATTAGTGAAATTTTATAATACATGTTATATTTATCATTCCTGACTAAACTCAAATGCTACCTTGCTAACCAGAGAAAATATTTAAAATTCATATATACAGATTTTAAATATAATATATTATTCTGTTTAACGGAGGTTATAACTGCATAAGAAAGCCTTTTATTTAGAAAAAAAATTGCCACACTTACAAAAAATGTTTACTAAAGTTGCATTACATTAACGGCAAAATTCCTGGAAAAATACAGTTTTTATTTTTAGAGCATTTTTATGAGGTAATATTATAATACACAAAGTATCCTTCTATGTATGGGTATCTCTTTTATTTGAAGAGATACAAGGTCGGTTAAATTGGACAAAAGTTGCGTAATTACGTTAAGTCTTTTGAAATGCTATTTAAAAATTGGATAAAAATTTAGCGGTTCTCAAATAATTAAAAAAAAACTGAAAACCTGTCAAAACCAAAAAATAACTTCGTTATTTCTGAAAATGTTGAAGTTTTACATACACATTTATCTATATCGCATAATGTATTTGATTTACCACTGGTACACTCAATGTCTGAAAGGGATTTTTTTTAGTTCAAGCCCATCAGACCCTTTTAGGCAACCCAAAAGATAAGATTCCTTTAATTGAAAAATCGGGGATCTACGAAATAAACTGTCAAGATTGTGACAAGAAATATGATAAAAAACATTTTTACAATCCATTAATTCTCGATGAAATTATTGTTTATGACAGTGTTATGCCAGCATAAAATTATAGCTTTAAGATTACGCGAATTTAGAAATCAAATTATTAATTTTAATATTAGTATGAGGTAAGCTCTCTTAAAATGAATTAGTTAAAAATGACCAATTGTCATAATGAAAAAGCATCCAATAATAACTGGTCGACAGCAATTTGTACTCGGGACATTTATTACCTAATTCCTATATAAAATTATCCGCTGAATCCGAAAAGTCGTCAAAAGTTATAAAATTAGAACAGTTTTCGAGATATAGTCAATTTCCCATTTAATATGGAATTGACAATATTTAAAAAACTGCTGTACTTTCATAACTTTTGACGGTATTTTAGAGTTTTATATAGAAATTGACTGTTAAATGTCCGGGATACAAATTGCTGTGGACTACAGTTACTAGTAGCTGCTTTTTCACTATACGCAATATTTCAAAGTAAATTTTATTATAATGAAGATCACAAAGCACTGGATAAAACATCCTGACCTAAACACATAAACAACTACATATAATAGAATTATATGTCTAATGGCTTATGGTCAAAGTTTTTTTTAGTTTGGTCCAAAATAAAATGAATTTGTTAAATGATGTATTATAATCGAGTATGTATGGCTGAAAGGACCCAGATGTGTTTAACAGAGGCAAACCACTAGCTAAATTCTCCATTATTGGTCTTTTAAGTTGGTTCATTGCTTCGACAAAATAAATTTTAATAATCCCTATAAAAAAGGATTTGTCGATATGCGAGATATCTCTATACGTTTAGTTAAAGGATTTCCATAATTCACGGCCCAATTTAAAATATTTTTATGATTATTTATTATACGCAATAATTTTTAATACAATTTAAATTTAAAAAATAGTAAAAGGTAATATTTTAAATTCAATTAAAATAAGTTTAAAAAAATAGACAGGTTGTTTATTTAACCCTGTTGATTTGGACTTTTTAAAAGAGTCACCAGAAAAGAAATAGGTTTTCAATATAATAATAGTTACTTATAATGCTGGGAAGAAGCAAACATTTTTTTTATTTTTTTAGAATAACACGGTTTATTATTAAATAAACTTACTAAAGTTTTCATCATAATATCAGAGTTTACTACTAGTAGCGTCTAAGATTTCTTACTGACAATTCGTATGAATGTGGGGATTCCAGATTGTACTTAGTTTTGGGTCAGTCTATCGTCCCCCAAAAACCAAAAGGTTTTGCATTAAACACAGATAATGCTGTGCAGCTGCAGGATACGTGGGAGAACCAAAAGGGGGTAAAAATAACTCTGGGAGACCAGTGTATAATGGTGTTGATGGGGCCAGCTATACGTTCCTCATACTTCTACTTAAGTTTTTATCATAATGTAATGATAAATAAATGTGTAACACAGGGTACTGTCTTGGTACTGACACTTGTTTAATTTTAATTACATAAAAAGATTTTTATTTTTTAAAAGGTACCGTTAACTTTTATTGTTAAATTTAGAGGAAAAACATAAAATAAATAATAATATATTAATAATTCTGAATTATACAGTCCAAAGTAAAATAAATTATAGCATAAGAACTGGGCTTGATATTTTGAAAAAAAACGCCTTTGGTGTTTTTATTATAGCGACGCAAATAACGGAAAGACTGACCACATTTAAAATCGCCTTAAAAAAAACGTTAACTTACACAAGACGCTTTTAAATATACCAAAGTTAAAGATTTTGGGGAGCAACAATTTGCATTGAAGCTTTTGATGCCCACAAATGCTTCGAAACATAAGCCACTTTACTTAGACTAAAAAAACCTTATGCAGTTAACGATTTCCAGTACAAGAAAGAACCCTTTCCGTACCAATTATTCCTAGGAATAAACGTAACGTTAACGCTCTTTTTGTCTAGTACTTTAAAGTATGGGAAAATTGCTTTTATTAACTGATTAAAAAGAAGCTCACCATTGCTAACTTCGTTTTTATTGGAGCTAGAAAGTCGGTTAAATTAGCAAATTGGTGGTATTTTTAATAATCCAACGTCGGGTTTTTGAAATATTTATAAAAATAACATTTTTAAATTGCTATGAGATATTTTAAAAAGCAATTTAATTTGGAACAAAAAATTATAATTTCATAACTACCCTAAACTTAAAAATAAACAATTGTAAGGCACTTTATGATTGTTGTTAAAATAAAGTAATAATTTGGTTAACTCAACCGACTTTGTAGCTCCATTAATATCGGAGTTAAAATAGTAGCAATGGTGAGCAGATAACTTTGGGGTAATTCCACGATACTCGGGGATTTTTGTCCCGCCCGTCACAATTAAAAATTGTAAGTAAAAACTACACGTTATAAAATTTATTTTAAAATATAATTATAAAATAATTTAATAACTTGTGGTTTTTGTGACGGGTGGGACAAAAAATTACAGAGTAACGTGGAATGCTCCTTTGGACAAGGTGTATATCGGGGTATTATATTGCGAAGCGAAGTTTATATACAAAAAAAAGTTTATATACAAAAGTGCTCTTTTAGTTCCAACCTTACTTCCTAAGAAGTCCCAGAAGCCAACTGAATGGCTTGAGCGGGTTAGGGGTAGAAACGGACTGCGGGCTTAAAGTCCCCTCCAAAGGACTATTACACAATAGGACAAACACAAATAAACAGCCATACCCTTGGTGGGATTCGAACCCACGACCTCTCGGCTTGTAGTCAGCAGCAGTAACCTCTAGTCCACCGTCGGCGCGCCGCGGCGGTTGTAACTAAATTTACTACTGTAACTAAATTTACTACTGTTCGAAATCTACCATATTTATACTGATTATAAGCCAAGGTTGACTGAACCGTAAACGGACAGTTTACTAAACCGTGGACCGTAACCGCTTCAGTAAAGAGAAACTAACAAACTAATTTATACAAACTACAGTTTGGTACCGGTCTGTTATCGCTATTTAAAGATTTATTTTTATTGTTATGTATAAACTTTCATAACTATCTAGAATATTGGTTCTCTAACTTCCTTAGTAAGTTTAAAGTTGTCAAATCCTATTCTATGACCACCATATGTTGGGCAACGCTTGATTTTTCTGTACTACCAAATCTAGCATAGGCCAAGTACTCTTTAAACCTCGGATGGATCGTTTAGTTTGTCCAACATATTTCTTGTCACAATCTTGAGAGTTTATTTCGTAGATCCTCGACTTTTCAATTTTAGGAATCTTTTTTTTGGGTTGCCTAAAAGGGTCTGAAGTGTGTTACTGCTTGAACTAAAATCAACTTTAAAGTCTAGTTTTCGAAAAATCCCTTCCAGACCTCGAATGTACTGGGGTTCGAAAGGAATGGTCATAAACTTGACTTTTGTGGGCTCTGTTTGAAAAGTTGTTAACCAAGAAAGGCAAGACTTAAATTTTATTTTATTTACTAAATTATCTACTAGGGTGAGTTCAAAACTATTGTCTCTAGCAATGTCTTTTATAAAACTGAGCTCCTTCTTGTATCTACTGTTACTAACTGGAAAAAATATTCTTTAATAGAATAAAAACTTCTTTTAGATTCGAGGATACAGCATTTTTAAATTTAAGAAAGTTTTTTAATTTTATATTATCACTAGGTAACTTGTTATACAATTTTATCGCTGTTATTGGGCCTTTGTATACTCGAGTTAAATTGTGGGTGGGACATAGAGTTTGTTTGTATTCCTTATTTCGTATTTTTTTTATCACCGCACTTTTTAAACTCTATAATATTAAGACGGACATATACTACACATTCTAGTATATAAATATATGGGATTACATTTAAAATCAGTTTTACAATTTCTGTTATAGGGTAAGTTTAACATTGACCTTAAAATACGTTTTTGTGCTATAAAAATTCTTTTACTAGAGAAGCCATTTCCCCAACACAATTTTCAAGAATCTATTGGACACTTCCATAATAAAAGTTCTTTAATGTGGGTGAATTCACTACTCCTCTTAATTGAGTCATGAAATAGTTTTTAGAAGATAGTTTATTAGCAAGATCACTTATATGCAGTTCCCAAGAAAGATTTTCATCAAAAGTTAACCCCAAAAACTTAACTCTCGAACTTTGGCGCCACCTTTGCATCACCATTACATTTTACCCAGATACTGTAGTTCATGGAAGTTTGTTTGGGATGAAACATTATTATTAGTTGAGTTTTTTTAAGATTCAGAATACGGCCATTTTATTGCACCAAGAGTTTATTTAATTTACAAATTTATTTGCCGAGCTACTCAGAGATTGTATGCTATCACCCGTTACCACCCCCCAATGTGTCATCAGCATACATTGTAATAAAAGCATTATTTACTTACAAGATCGTTAATGTAAAAAATGAATAATAGTGGTCCAAGTATACTCCCCTGAGGAACTCCGCTTTGTATACTTAAACATTTGGATTTAAAAACAGTTGTATCATGTTTTATATGAACCTCCTGAACCTTGCCTGAAGGGTATGAATTCACTCAGAGACCAGCTTTTCCCCAAATACCATAGAAGTAACTTATGATTTACGGTATCAAACGTAAAATAAAAAAGATTCCACAAGTTTTAAGTTCGTTATTAAATGACTTAAAAATGTTGTTTTATACCGAAATCATAGCTGTTTGTGTTTACTGACGTGGGGTAAATTCATACTACCTTTTAGTTATTAAATTGTACTTGTAAATGAATTAAGCCTATTATGAAAGGCTCTTTCAAAAATTTTTGAAAAGATACTCAAGAGAGAAACTGGTCTATAATTTAACAAATTAGATTTGTTTTTTTAAAAGATAGGTATTATTATGGCTTTTTGCTTGTCGAGGAAAATAGCCTTTTTCAAATGATAAATTTATTAAAAAAGTTAAACAAGGAGCAACAATTTCTGCAATATGTTTTAAAATATTACAGGTTACTTTATTATGGCCAGAATATCTTTTAATTTGTAGTTGATAACATAATTTTTAATGTTTCCATGTTATTATAGGGTTCTAGGAAAAGGCTATTTTGTATAAAAACGCTAGAAAAAATTTCAACTATTAATCCATTTGTTAAAGATTTTACCGAGTCTATAAAATAATTATTAAAAGAATTAGCAATATCCTCTTTATTTTGGAAGGGTCTATTTTTACTGTCAAACGAAGTATCTGGGTATTTATTTATTTTAGATTTGTGGTTTATATTACAGTTAATTACTTCCCAAGCTGATTTCGATATATTTGTTACTGTTTTCCAGTGTATTGTAAAAATTAATTATTCTATATCTATAGATATAGAATAATTAATTTTTACAATACACTGGAAAACAGTAACAAATAAATCGAAATCAGCTTGGGAAGTAGTTAACTGTAATATAACTATAGTTTTAAATTCTACATCATTAGTATTTTTGTAAATTTTTAAAAGTTCTCTTAAAAAATTTCCACTAATCCACTGATTTTTTAACTTTTGTTTTTTATTTAAGCGGTGCCATAGTAGTTTTAGGTATAAATAAATAATTATAATTAGTGTTAGTACTTACAGCTTAAAAATATTTTCGTTTTAATTACGTCCAGTAATTACCTTCTTGATTCCTCTTACACTATAACAAAAAATATTTAATGTAATTTGATTGTTTTTATCCTCTTCGTGTAATTTGATTTTTTACATCAAACTTTATATTATTTACTTACTAGATTACTACTGGAATCTCAGTGAAGCTGATTTGGTTTCCTGAAATTGCTTAACAAATAGGAGGAAGCATTTCCCTGTAGGATCTCTTTACACGGATTGGTTGTATTAGATATTATTTGCTTTCCATTTTCCACAAATCCAGCTTGAATCACGTACTCAACAACTTATTTATTACACATACGTAATAAGAAATGATGTGTTCCAATTTCACAATTCAAAAATAGAAAAATATGTAATAAAGAACGAATTTGTCCGTGTAACAAAGACACATACTATAAAAGGAATAATGAACCCATTATATACACTATAAAATACGTCATTCTGTAACTTAAACATTTATTGTTAAAAAAATGTAAAGGTTTACATAATATGTAT